TATATATATATATAACATTACTGTGTAACCAGGTTATATCTAGCCAGATCAGCTCGGCTCAGCTGCATTATGAGTAGTAGTCGAGGCATATATCCTTGTTGGAGTGGAAGACAATCCAATCGTACAAAATAGTGCTACCGCCATTATCTGGTACTCTTGTGATTATTGTTGCTTGCGTATGTGTACTGTTTACGTTTTGGTAGCCATTCAATTCACCCAATTATACCTTTTTATTATGCTGTCTGATCTTCATACGTTGATAATGCGTTATAGACTATAGCACGACAGATCTGGATGATTGTCCCTGATGTATATTACTATCGCCGGGTTTCATAGTTAGGAAGTACGCTTAAACCTGCTTTGCTGACCAATATAACTGACATTCGTACGATTGTGGCTGTCCAGTCTGCGAGGGGGTCGACCGCGGCTGCGGTCAACGAAGGCAGAGCTTCTGATGTGTCCGCTAATCGGGAGAGTATGTGTTTGTCAAAATATATACATATTTACATATCGGGAGAGTATGTGTTTATCAACATATGTGCAGATTTACATATCGGGAGAGTATGTGTTCATGTGCATATGTACATATTGGGAGAGTGTGTGTTTATGCAAATATGTACATACATATGTACATATCGGGAGAGTATGTGTTTATGTACATATGTATATATGTACTTATCAGGGGGAAACACGTCTATCTACATATGTATATATGTGCATATATGGAGTGTATATGTTTATCTGCGTACTCAATATATCCATATCAGGAGAGTATGTGTTTATCTACGGGCTGAGCGCGACAATTATACTTAGCCAAAGGACTCGTAGGTATGTGCACGAGTGATAGGAGGCGGGTGTCTGAGACTGACTACGTACGGTCTGAATTGATATTGTCTCACACGCAGTATCCTATATCCTCTATATATACTATCTTGTCCCCAATTGCTTGTCTTGTCAGCGAGCAGTCGATGCTTCACACAATAAAAAATGGCAAATTCAAACTATTTCCGCACATTTAATGTTATATCCTACGCGGACGTAGCGTGCGGCTCGGATGATCTTTGTTCGTCTATACTTTGATATGTTTGCGGCTATACTGCGCATACTTTGGATTTGTGTTTATGTTTGTGTCTGCAAAGAAAGAAGCTTAGGCTGAGTTTCAAAGCACGGCGCCATTCAGCATGGATTATCTATACGTTTAAGAATTCGAATTCTACTGCACTGACCTGAGTGTGCCAACTAGTGAGCCTCGTGAATGAAACATTGGACCACCATCACCTGCAAACTTACCCGTATCTAGTGTCATAATACAACATGTATGTTTACCAAAGACTATGTGTCTGTTGTCGAACTCACACGCCACTACAACAGTCATTTAAAGTATAGGGAAGCAACTAGCACGTAAAGCCCGTAACATTCCTGTTATTATGCACGTACATGTTATTTGAAAGTTTACACTCGCTTATTCGCCTGTAATACCCCAGCCGACCGCAACATGACACCATCGCCGAGTGGAACTCCCCATATTATCGATGAGAATGAAGAGTACGATGATGCGCTTGACAGGTCTACTAGCGCCCGGCAACACTGATGCTACTCAAAAGTACCGTTGGCAATCTGGTAGACGCATGCCAACCGAAGTCCTACTGTGCACGTCAGTCGGTGGAAGGTTACAAAAAAAAACGATGAGAACCTTTATAAGAGTATTCTACGATGTGGATTGGGCTTGCTGAACTTATTTATTGTACCATAACCCTCTCTAATGCCCTGATTACAATGACCCTCTCTACTGTTCTATCATGCTCATCCCTACTATTGTACCATGAACCTCTCTCCACAGTAGAGTAGTAGCTACATTGGTCTTACTATTTGAAAGATGATTTAAACATCAAGAGACCTAAAAAACACTGTACATCGTCCGGCTGTGGAAAAAAATATAGGAGGCTATGTGTATCCGATAAAAAAAGTGAGACTTGTTGAAAATAGTTATTTTTGTCGAGTGTGTGCCGCTGTGTGCCTCCAGTATGGTTTTGTTCCGACTTCCGACCAGGCACAGTCACATCACACGGACACGCAGTCACATCACACTGTCACACAGTCACATCACACCGACACACTGGCACACAGTCTGCTGCTCTGTACTTTTACTGCACAGTCCACAGTTACAGTACACACTGACACTCTCACTCTACACAGTACACATTCACAAAGAGTATTCTACACAGTAGGTACAGTTGTACACACCACCTATCCTTCTCAGGGGAATCTCAGGAATCTCAGCTAACGCCTGACGGCTCTATTTTGATTTTTTTTTAACGTATATATATTTACGGAGTAAAACCCACTTTTATCTGAATTCATTACATATACGACATGTATTTATTTCCTGAAATGCGTATTTTATATATATTTACTATTTTTTTTAAACTCTACGTACTGTACTACGGTATTTTATTTTTTACATAGCCTACTTTGGAAATAAAAACAATCATATTTAGCCCATAAATAGCCATCTAAAATCAGGCAATTATTTTTAATACAACAAAATGCATGATGGTACATAGTTGATTTTTTGTTTTGTTTGGTTTTTTATGCATATTGTTTTTTTAACAAGAAACAAATATAGCAAATACTATTTGTTTTACAAAAATTGCAATAAAAAACAAGAACAAACAAAACATATTTGCTGCCCCAGAGTGCCCCTTGCTTTAATCTAGCCCTCCCTGCTTACCTCCCGGAATCTCGGGCTCAACTCACCTTTTTTTTAAAGGTTGAGACTTGAGAGGTGGGCCCGTGGGGCCATAGTGAAGTAGTGACCGGTTGAAGAGATTCGGAAAATTGGAACTCAAGTCAAATAGCCTCGGGCCCTCGGCCCTCGTTTCACACACAAGAAGTCTGAATTAGCACGCACTGAGTCCTCTCGCCCTCGTGCCTCAGCCCTCAGGCCCTCAGCGGCTTGGCCCTCACGCCTGAGTTAAGCGGCGCTGCCCTTAGTCTCAGACTCAAAAAGTCTCAGACCTCGGGTCTATTTTTATCCAATACTCATCGAGAGATTCTTGTTTGAGTTTATTACAATATTCTCCATCATATTCATAATTCAACGAATATCGCGAATTCGCGACAGATAAACTAAAATATAAAATATTATTGTACTCCCACGATCTCATGATTCTCAACAACAAAATATTTGTGTAAAAAAAATATGCACACTGTCGTTTGTGCCAAAGAGAGGGCTAAAGAGATAAATCCTGGAATCCAGAGACGGGATAAGGATTTAGGGAGTCAGTCAGTAATTAGATAAATACTCGGTATCTCAGACTCTCACAGTGCCACAGAGTCACAGTCTCACAGGCTCGTACACTCTGAGTCACTGAGACACTGACAGTCTAAACAGACTGCACAGCAGCAGGGGCCAGGGGCCGGCCAGGGAAACAGGGACCCCAGACCCAAGGGGACACTGAAACTCTGAAAGATGGAAAGTCAGAAATAGCGACAGGGGCCACAGGGCTCGTGAGCTATGATTTTATGCTAAATTCCGAAACTCGGCGACATCGATATTTGTGGGATTGTACGACAACTAGCTTTTTTTTTATTCCTTTGCATTTATATCGGACGTATAGTTGGACTTGACATCGAACGATGTCGGACTACTCAGAATTCATAGTTGAGAGTTGGTCACCATTGGCTTATTTTTAGTCGGGGTCAAAATGACAAAAAGTGATCTGTGTGATGACTGTGAGAAGAATCTGACAAAAATGATTGTCAGAGTCGATGATGTGTTTTTGTGGAAGGGTGACAACTAATTTTTAAATTGTCAACAACATCGCGTGTGCCAAATATTTTAATTGGTCTTTCGGTCAGCGGCAAATGTTGACTTGAGGTGATACGCAGAAATCTATTGGGCCAGAAACCCATCGGATAGCCCCACGGTATTTATATATTTAGACTACTATTTGTATTTAATTGTAGAGTAGGGACTCTCAGGGACCATTGAGTTTTGAGACTCAGAGTCCCAGACTCTCGCGGAGACTGATGAGAGACCCCAATCAGGCAAGCACCC